ATCATAGAATGCCAGTTTAATAGAAGAAAGTATTCTTTTGTTGAGGGAGTACTTGAGTCGAGGCCCAATGCCCTTCTGCTACCTTAATACTAAACCTATAAATATAGGCACATAGATCTATTTCTCCATCCTCATATAAATATATTTGCATATGTACATGTCTTTATCTAGACCTTTATAAATGCCCTTTGTCTCCCAGCTCTTTCCTCTATTTCCTTTGATTTTCCTCCTGTCCCACTGTCATACTCAGTTACCACCAGGGTTTCAGCACTTCCTCTTTGTTATATTACATATGATCCTGTCCTACCAGGCCTCCCACACCCACCTCACCACCAATTAGGATCACTTGTTGTCCCCTTGTCCCTGGGTTTGTTAACACCACTTCCTTTCCCCCCACCTCCCCTTTCCCATGTCCCCCTTGAAATGTTGGTCCTGTTGTTTTCTCCTCCAGATTGTTCATCCAGCCTATCTTATTTAGACAGACCTGCGGAGATAATAATATGCACAACAATGGCCGTGGGGTGTGTGCAAGCTAAGCTAATAATTGCAGGAATTCTGGCAGAGCCCAAGACTCTAGACATCACCTTGCAGATTATATATATAGACACACATATACTACATACTTTCTTCTCTCTGTTTCTTTCCATTGGTCCCCTTATCTGTCCAAGCTCATTCTCTAAAGGGGAACGTGATGAGAACCATCATTTCCCACTTCATTCCCATTTCCTTTCAGATCTGATATGTTTTCTCTGTGTATGTCAGTGCTGTGGCTTCCTTGCTGCTGCATTAAGAAAACGCAGCACATAACATGCCTTCTGGTTTACAGGCTGCAGTTCCTAATTCAATAAAATAAGTGATTTATTGAGTGCCTTCAAAGTGGATGAGCAGGTTGAAATCTCACTGGGTCTGGGCTCTTTAACCTTTGCTCCTTTGATCTTAGGAAGGTCATCAAGATAAGAAAATACAAGTGGGCCTATGATTAGTTTCAAGGAATAAATATAAATATGATGAATAATTTTCTTGGCATGAAAATAAATTTACTTTGAAATGAGATTATGTTCAATAGAAAAAATGAAATACTTGTAAAGCTCATA